ACAGATAACTTATTAGTCTCTTCCTGCTTCCCACACCCCGCTCTATTGCACCAATTTTACTAGCTGTAAAAGTGGCTGCTTAGTTTATTGTCTAAAAAAAAATGATTTAATCTCATGTTTTTCAGTAAAGAAAACATTGGTTATTTTCCTACAGGATTCCCCCAAAAACACATGAAAAATAGTTTTGTCTAAATTAGGAGTTGACTTTTTTATTCATTAAAAAATTTATGATTCGTTTCCAATTTTTTTATTTAGATTTTCACTTTTACCTCTGTTTCTATTGTTTAAAGAGTAATTTTACGACTGCCAATCTTTTGTAATTAAGTTTTCTATTAAAAAGACATCTTTGTAAATTTATTATTAATCACTATAACATACGAATGGTCACAAAGGTTAAAAAATTTTTTTTTGATCAAACCAAAGAACAGTGGATGCTTGGGTATCCAAGGATGTAATAATACTTCTATAAAATTATATAGCAAACAATATAATTTTGAGTATAAAAATACGTTGTATGAAACAATATTGTGAACGAAGGTAGAACAATTATCGTCGAAATGAGTATACCTACGCTGATTGGGTATAATTTCAATTAATATTTATTGAGTTGATGATTATAAAGAAATGTTACGACAAAATACAATAAAAATGATACATAGGCTGGCCAGTACAAGGCTGCGCTTTCATCGAATCCACCGATGGTTTCAAAACAACTCCCTACCATCCATACGCTGATTACATCTGTAACATAACGCTCACACCTGTCCCATACGATCCCACACTTATTTCTAGTCCATATTTATTACCCAAAATACAATTGTACATATAAAATTAAGGAGAGCCATCTTGTAGTGTAGCTTTCTTCAATAGGGTAGTATTACATGCCAGTGAATGTCCTTTCAGGACGTTCATCTCAAATAGGTTTTTTTGACAGATACTATTTAAAAGTCAAATGCATATTGAAATAGTATAAAAAATACCAATAAGAATTACAGCTCGTTTGACTATACCAGTATTTTATATATATGTTACATTTAAAAAAATTAATATTTAACACGTAACCTCATGAATAAATCACGTTGAATGGCATTTATATGATTTGTAGGAATCTCCCAATTTTTTAGATACAAAAGATTACTTTTAGATAAACCTATCGAATTTTCAAATAGACCCACAAGTTTAATTTTAAATAAATTTAGAAAGAGGGGATGAGGTGTGCGTGGAAGCATGTATGTAAGTACATTCACATGAGAAAAACAATTGGTAGCTTTACGGCAAACATAAAAAAAATCACTTAAACCACAAATGAAAAAATTGTTAAAGAATCAAACACAATAGAAATCAATTATTGTATTTGTACACTACGAAAAATTTTTGAAAAAATACGAAAAATAGTATAACTAATTATTTATTTCTTGTAAAAGTANATTTGTTTATAATCTAACTTTTAGTTACATAAAAAAATTATTAATTAGTTATTTGTATGTATAATGTCTATTTACGTCCAAGGTGGTATGAAAAGATACATGAAAATGTGTATTTAAGAGTAAATATTTAGATATGTTTCAGGTCAGTTGAGGGTGATGGGGTTTTTTGATAAAAAGAATATGTCAGAATAACGGGAGTGACGTTTGCGTACACTTACTACTTTAACAAATATATATGTTACCACTAAATAATGTCCACTAACATGTAGATATGTCTGCATTTGATAATTTTTTTGGCTTGTGCGTCCTTGTAATTTGCTAATAAAATAAATTTAAAAATAAAATAATGTGTGTACATTAGGGTGGTCGTTGAAAATTAGAATTTTTCAGGAACCCAAAAAAACTTTCCTTTTGACGAAATACTACGGGGAAAATTTTCAAAAAAATATCACGTGACACCGGCCAATTAAAGCCTATTTTTCGATAAAATTGCACTTGTTTTCAATATATTCTGAAGATTCGAATTTTAATCAAAAATGATGAAAACGTGCTTGTAGGATATTCAATTCTCTACATAACCATATGAATACGTTAAATAAAAATTTACAAAAAAAATGAGTTATGAACTACACCATAAGATGCGGAAATCGAGTTCTATATTGGGACTGTTCGTAGCAGAGTAGATAAGGTCCTCAGTTAGTTTGTAGGTAATTAGGGGCTCAAATCTCTTTAGAAACTGTTTGTTTGTTTTTTTTTTTTTTAATGAATTGGGTTAAAATTCAAAATGTGTGGTGTGGTGATGTTATGTGGCGTCATGTGGTGTAGAGGAAACCAGAAGTACGTTATGGTGGACGAGCCGAAGGGAGAGAATCAAGCAAAATCCACTTCCATCACACTTTTTGCAAGATAAAAATCTGAAATCGTTGATTTACCTTCGCGCAAAACGCGCCTATAGAAGTATAACTTCAAAAACTTTTGATCGGTGTAGAAAAACGTATTACCATGTCAATTTGAAAGTAACCGTGAGAAAACATAGATATAACGTTGCAGCTATTTTCAAAGTTAAAGAATAATTATTAGTTTTTGTTAATTAATTTTTCAAAGTGATACTTCGAACTGTTATTACAAACTTAATTGTTAATTCACAAGAATAACTGTGCTGTTGTGTTGACACAATCAAAATTTATGTATTTATTTAATTTTTATTTCGTAGGACATGTGCAAGAACCAAAAAAATTGATTATTAAATTCGAACCTGATATTTACTTAAACTACTAATTTACTTAGTTGATTCACTATTAATAAGCGACTTTTTTTTTTTAATGTTTCTGTCAGTTATTGTTATTCATTATATAAATGATAAATGTATTATATTACTAAGTTTTTAAAAGTAACAAAAAAATGATAAGTAGATGGATATTTATCAATACATAGCATAGCTGCTCTGCTAAAATACGGTATTTTTTATTAGTTTTTTGAAAAAACATTTGACTAAAAAAAAATTAGTTATTAAATTAGTTGTTTATTAATGTAACTTNCTTTCCCCGTAGTTTTTCGTCAAAAGAAAAATTTTTTTTGAGCACCTGAAAAAATTTAATTTTCATCAACCACCCTAGCATACATGTATGTGTGTGCATATGTGTTATAATTTATGAAGGAAAGTAAAGTATCAGTAAAATTACAAAAAATAGAGTGAGGGCTGTGGTGGGACAAAAAAATTCTGCGTGGTATGTAAGAGAGCTATGGGATGTGTCTGTAAGGGGTTGTAGGGAATTTGTGTGGATACCTCACACAAAAAACTTTATAGTATAGGCAGATATATAAAATGCCCATCAAGTTAGAATATCCTTCGTTGTTTATTCCCAATTTTCGAATGTCGTAATGTTTAACAACATCAAAGAAGAATGATGGTTGTTAACTGTCAATCTCTGACGTGTAAAATGATTTGTGGGAAAGTAGATTGGATACACATTTTGTTTTAGTACTCTCACCCTTAAGGGTGACATTAAAAAGAAAAAAATCCCTACTGGACGAAACTATGTACATTTAGTCCAATCATAAGTTGTCCCATGTAATAATAACATTTTTCGTTGATACGTACATATGATAATGGTCATTGGTTGCAAGGGCATAGAGCGTGTCAAAGTCCTATAGCTTGGCCTTGATATCCGTAGCTGGCCTAGTAATAACATCGCTTTTAACGATGCTTTTCGAAACAATTTTTCACGTCATAAGAGCTACAGCAAGCGCTTCGTACAACGTCACCTGTACAACTGATTTAGAGAAGAACTAGTGGCACCCCACAAGTTCTTAGGTGATGTCTAAATTTTTTCGTTGAAATTTTTAATTTATTTGGTTTTCTCAAAACATTCTTCTAATTAACATACTAACGGTTTTTGTAAAGTACTACTTAAAATTTATAGTAAGAGTTGAGATGCACTTTTATCGTGCAATAGAGTAGTATGATCTCGGAAATACTTGTGAGATCACTTGTCAAAAATAGACATCAACACGATCTTGTAAAAAACTTTACATATATTAACTTGTAGAATATAGTTTGATTTCTAATTATATATTTTAAAATTTTCCTTTTGTGAAAGCTTATAACTAAGACAATACAATTCAATCTACAGAGACATCAGTTTAGAGTGAGCAAGGAGTATTGCTTCTTATAAGTGGAAGCGATAGAAGCGAGGACAGAGGTGAATGTCTATTATTTCTCTATGATTTTTTTTAGCTTTTTTGTAATTAATTATAATAGGATAAGTGTGTCTTTGATTTAATATTGCAGTATTTAAAAGAAAAGCGGAAACTATCAGGCATCTATCTGTTTCTTTGCATCCGTTGCGGAATTGAGACTCATGATTACTTGAAGCCTATATCTCTATCATCATATGAAGGTGGGTAATTCTTACTAAGTTTAGTTTATTAAATGGCAAACAAGTAAGCTATATATCACCTCATTTGGTAAAGCGATTAGCTTGTGATCCACTGTGTACATCAAGAGTTTACAGTAGTAGTATAAGAAATGGTAGTATCAGTTAATTTAAATATGCTTAACTAATTGTTAAAACTGCTAAGAAACATAACTTCACTCTATTATTTGATTTAACAATAATAATGTAAATGTATTTAAGAATATGTAACAATATGGTGTCGTAGATCTTGATACTTTTTTACAAAAAAATAGCGAAAAATGATCGCTAAAGTTTGCTACTTACTGTAAGCTTTTTAACACTTATATTTATGGAGATAATTGCAACTTTGATTTTGCCATTTTTTTAAATAATTCTAAGGCTGAGGCACTGTTGATAGTGAGAGATTAACTTCGTACAACAACATACAAATATACTGTTGGCATATCATTAGTTGACATTTAAGAGAAAATAAGTAACATTACATATAATATCCATGATCAAGATACTTAAAAACAATTGATGCTTATCATTAGAAGTTGCATACTGTCAAACTCTTAAGGGATCATTAAATCTAAATCTGACTGCACAAGTGTTCTTACTTAAACACCAACATAATTTAGTTTGTTCTAGAAAAACTGAATATTAAATTATTTACCATCTGCTGAATGTGATAAGTTTGCTGCTGTAAATAAAACTAGCTGGGTTGGCTTTTCATCAGATGTAGGAGATCCTGCACGACTTGATCCTATAAAAAAAAATCATACAGTCATAATACATTTCTATTCATTAGATTCTCGTATCAGTAAAAAATACAGATTTTTTTCTCTCTATATTATAGTACTTTACGTTCGGCTCCTATAAAGAGCACTACTCTGGGCACTGAGCACTTGAAAGAAGGAAGGAAAATGGTTGGGAAGCTACCCATTACTGGCAGGGATAGACGGACGGAGGGGAAAAAAAAAGTTTTGCTTTGTAAAGTTCACCCATCCCCTTCACAAATAGCGTTACGTAGTGAAAAAGCACATGTGAAAATTTACAGAAGTAATTGCTTGAAAGAGATGCACTATCCGGGAATCAAACCACGGTTTCCCACGTTTAGACCCACAACCTAGGCAATTGAGCAAACGTGTGCTCCAAAAACAATGCAGATAAGAATAAATTTTGGTAAAAATAATTAATACTATACAAGTAAAAGATCAGGGTTGAACGTAGTTACATATAAGGAAAAAATTTGTGTACTGAATTAGGCAGTCACTTAATGCTTACTTTCTGAACTTTATCAAAACGTGAAATTGCAAAAAAAAATACCACTTATAAATTACTTAGCTGTCTGTAAAGTCAACGACCAACTGAATTATCATTAGTCTCAGTTGTGATACCTAGTAGGCGATGCAGATATCCTTAATCAATACCACAGTAAAAGTATTGAGATATAAATGCATGTTATTAAGTTTATTAATTAACACATATAAGTTGTATTTTTTTATAGAATATCCAAGGGTTTTGCACAAATGCAGCCATCATTCGATATACAAATAAATAGGAACATAGACTACATTTTCATTTATTTTTTACAGTTATACTAAACTTTATTTATTAAGATTTATGCCTTTCATAATGTTTTTAGCTCTTGAGATTCATAGGCGTAAACTTTAAAACCACGACACTGGAGATATTTCTCTTATATTGCACAATTGTAATAGAAAAGACAAAATAAGAAATATGTGGTGAAACATAAATTCAGAAAAACTTGATAACCTATGAATAATTCTATAAATTTTTAAAATAAGAAAGACCTTAATCATACCCCGTCAAAAAGCCCATAAAGATTCAGGTATTGAATTGTAAAATGTTAAATCACGCGGTATGAAGCAGTTACAAATTTAAAAAATGTTTTAACTTTCAGTTTAAAGGATGTATTTGAATAATAAGAGTTAAAGCTATAGCGTGCATCTCAGGACTTCTGGCAAAAGTGAGACTTAAAAATTGTCTGTTACTGAGCTCAATGTTATGAAAAATGAAGTAATCCTTAAGATGTTTGACCATGATACAATAAACACAAGTTAAAAGATCAAAAGTTATACAAGCAGAAAAGTATCACAGGAATTTTTACCCTAAAAGCAACGGTAATCCTGTGATAATTTATTATTACGTAAATTTTTACCATAGATGTTTATGAATGTTTACCGTAGTTTATAGTAATTTTCATGGTAACTGTTTAATTTATTCGAAATTCACTATAATTCTCACAGTACGGCACGGTAAAATTTCCCCTGAAAAAGCATATATAGCTGTAGGCTGCAGGGTCACATTGGCTGGAGGGGAAGGCCGAGCACCTGATCAGCTGTCTGCTAAGGCGTGGACGAACTTACAAATTGTAGACCTGTGTGGATATTTGCATTAATAGAATTGGTACTTAACGAACTGTTGGACACATGATGCAGTACTCCTTCGCTTATAGCCATTCATAAAAGATACCCGTACTTTCATCTATGCGTTGATTTCGGTAGTACATATGTGACTTCTATCTCATTCTTTCATACAGGTTATATAGCCCACTACAGTAGACATCTGGTCAGCCCTTCCCTCCAGCCCACGTGACCCTGCAGCCTATAGCTATACGCACTTTCAGGGGAAATTTTACCGTTGCCGTGCAGTAAAAATTATAGTGAGTTTTGGATAAATTTTACAGTTACCATAGAAATGACTGTAAACTACGGTAAACATTCATAAACATCTATGGTAAAAATTTACGTGATGAAAAATTATCCCAGAATTACCGTTGCTTTTACGGTAAAAGTTCCTGTAATTCTTTTCTGCGTGAAGCAATGTTCTAATATGAACTACTTTCTACGTATTTGTAAGTTACTTTGTTTCTATTTATTTTCAGAAAATCTAGTACAGTCACGTACTACTATTTTTTTGTAAATTTTACGTGAATTTTATAAAGTTAGGAAGCAAATAGGTAAAATTTGAGATTTGTAATTTTATATTTGTAACCTTAAAGTTCAGCTTTCATTTTTGACTTTTTACTTAAATTTTAATACAATTTAAGAACAAACATTGGATTAACTTGATTTCCTCTTCAGTTTAGCCTAGTTTTATGTACATTCTTTTTAATGTGATATACGGCAAAGTATCAACGATATTTCTTATAAAAAATTAAAAGACATCTACGAAATTGAAGTAACTCTCACTTTCCATGTTCATCATCAGTTACTTTTTAGTTTAAGAATCATAGAAAAATGAAGAGTTAAATATTTTTTTTTCCATAGTAAAACATTTCAATCAGAATTTAATATTCTTAGCTCATAGAGAAGTGTAAGTTTGATTAAGGCTTATAAAAGTATTGCACGCTTAAGCAGAATAAAACGTTCTTTATTTAATTAGGCAAATATAGTGAAAACAGATACAAAGGAAAAGATTAAGGATGACAAAGTCGGAATAATCATGAAATTCTCAATACACCAAGAAATGAAGTATGCTGACTCTTGGAACTTGGCATAAATAAATAGCTTTTAAATAAAAAAAAATCAAGTAATGTACACAAGGCAGAACTAATAAATTTTTATGTTTATTAAAATGGATTCTTGTACAAAATTTATTTAATTCTATAAAATGAAAAAGAACTTCCATGTGAAGCTTCTATCCGACAAAGTGATGGCAAGTATAAGGTTAAGTGGAATGAGAGGTCCATGTCTAAGTATCTGTTTGGCGGACCAGCTCCAACACTGCTACGAGTCCAACATCCTCAGGAGAAGCATGAAAAGAATTACCAGAAATAACTGGTTACACTTCGTGTAACAAAATAATTTTACATTTATTCAAGGCTGGTATTTAGTGTGGTACTTTGGTCGAGGTGTCTCGCAGAATAGGAGTAGGCTAACTGACTATCGGTGTGGCAGCAAGCAAACGCTCTTACGCAGAAGAGGAGCGATTTCCCCTACTCTATAATCTGCTAGGACGAGGTCCCAATACAAGCATTTGTCGTACTTTAATTACAAAATGTACGAAGCACCCCTTATCATAAAAAAATAACAGTTGTAAGTTTTTAACGTTCAACAAGTAATTTGACTAAGCTATGTAACAATGCAAAAATGGTCTCTACACATAGAGCATAACTTGTGTATTTCTTTGAATTAGTTTGTTTTTCGGGAGCTACTATATACGCTAATAGAAGGAGAAGACGACACTAATGGACAACCAATTGGCAGCATAGATACTGTAGCTAAAACAAAAAAGCACCACAAAATAAGTACGAGATCACTTTGATAGCAGAAGCTGCAGCAGAAGGAGTGACCGTGAGAGGAGATACATGGCAGAAGCAGCAGTGGCAGCCATCAATAAAGTAAGAATTTGCTTCTGAAGTTAATCTCAAGCTAGATGCCTAAATACGAACAACAAAAATTTTGGATTATTCTTATTGTTTTATGGGTGTGAGGTAATAAAAAAAATGCAGTTTTAAGATGGTGCGTATAATGCTGAAGAAGAGAGAGAGAAAGCGAGAATGACATACTTGAGCTTACTGAAACCTACAATATACTTAAGGTTCTACATCGATGAAGTATATCACAGGTGATAGACCAGCAGCTCATGACAGACTTTATTGAGCAATCAAATCACGTATGCCATTAAAAATGAAGATTAATTAATAAGTTCTGAAAAAATTGTTACAAGCAAAATCATGATAGCTTGACGAGCGTGTGTAGTTTAATTTTAAAGTTGCAGAAAAATAAAATAAAATAGCAATATACAAACCATTAAATGACATACACCATTTAGTCTGGATGAAATTTGCAAGAAATAAATATAATAGACAAGCATTGGCATATGTGTAGGGTGGGTCCTCAAGTCTGAAACCAGTCCTTATATTTTTAAGGTGCAAGAGATGTTATTTACCATTTTAATGTATGCCATGCACACTTAAATGTTTTTATTTGTAGCGAGTACACGTAAAAGTCAGTTAGCATACGTGTATCAAGCCCATGGAATTTTTTTTAAGCTTTTGTAATGATAAAATTAAATTTGTTTTTAAATCAATCCAATTATGCATACTTTTGTACGATTTAGTTATTTTTGACACTGTATATTATAACCATTAAAGACCTAACTTAAACCTAAATTAAAATTATGGTGGCGAATCATCTGCACATTGCCTAATAGATGACAACGAGCGAGAAAAATTATTCTTCTCCAACAAGCCTAACACGTAAAAATCCGCTGCCTACCTAAGCCTTGACTCTCTCGTGTACATGGGTAAAACCGTTACTCTCATTTGCTAAGAGGACAATACATAGGGCATAAAAACAATGAAAGTAAAAGTAAAGTAAGCGTAAGTGTAAGTATCTACTTGGAACTCCAGAGCTTGACCGCTTTTAGCTTGGTGAAAAAGTACCTCCAAGTATTTTAGGAATTAGGTATAGTAACAATGTTCTACATACGAAACTCTTGTATTAATCACTCAAATAGTGCTCGAGACATACAAAAGGCCTTAAAAACGATTTAACCCTACGTGACCTCCTTGTTAGACGTACAGAGCCTATTACCACGACTCTGTGGCTAAGCTACTGTATCGCTCTTGTCTAACTAGGTATCAGTAGGAACGAGTTTGAGAGTTAGAAATTTGAAAATTATCTCATCCTCCTTATTAAATTATTCATAGCTTGTATGGAAAATTAAAAGTTTGAATCAAAGATTTATTTTAGTGTTCATGCCTTAACTTTAAACTGTATTCAGTTACTTAAG